ACAGACTTCTAGCAATCTGTGCCCTTTACCAACATACAGACTTCTATCAATCTATGCCCTTCACCAACATAGATTCAGTTACTTCAGTATTAGGAACTGTTTAAAAACTTCACATTCTTTTTTCTTAACTGACAGGTTGGAAAAAGATCTGGAAGCAGAGAAGGAAAGAAAGATGCAAGCAAACCCACATTGCTGTCTACCACAAATTGATACAACTCAGTAAATATACAGTTTAATATTGTCCATATCTAAGAATCATTTTACTCATTGTGTTTCACTTCCCTTCAATTGCAAATATTCTTCTATCATTAAAAATATAGCTCTCATTTTGATAGAATCGTAGTGATCAAATAGGGTTTGTTGCTAACTTGACTTGAGGTAGAAACGATGAAGAGTTTTTCTGAGAATTCACACATCATTTGAGGGTACTTTTGAAATCAGAGTCAACCTTAGCCCCATGCGTTAGGTTCCCATTTTGATTTGGCTTGATGAGGAACGTCTCCTTGAAGTTGTTGGCCCAGCTCTCTCAATTCTCTTTTGCTGTTTTTCAGTCCACATTCGAAACGTTCCTTGGATTGCTCTGTGAGAAGGAATTCCACCTGCTCGTTAAGACAGTCAAACAACAATTTAAAAGCTGGTATTGTGGATGTGGATACAGTTGAGGTATGTTTGGATTGTCAAGAGTTACCTTCGCGTCATTAACAATTCTATAGTGTGAAGTTTTAATGTAACAACTTACGACGGGTAAAGGGAAATTTTGCTGTCTTAAAACGTTTTCTTGGGGGGAGGGGTGGGGAAGAATCAAAAGCAGTAGCATTTCATAACTGGTCCTAACGACACCTGCCCTCCTTTTTGTAACAAAATTTGAGTTCAAAAAATAAGACTACCATTGTTCTGTTGCATTTTGAATGATGTTAAAAAGAATGGACATTTTCTGAGCTAGAAAACCTCTTATTAAATTAATCTCTTCCAAGGTAAAGCTGGTCCGATCTAGAACAGGCTCTCTTGAGTAAGCACTGACAGGAAAGTACAGATTTTCTTTTTAAGAAAGCACTTTTCATTCCAAGATTACATGTTAGACTTGGAATGTTCAGCATTCTGACTTCCGAGACATTGTTTAGAGCCAAGCCTCTGGTGATAATAGCATTTATTACACATTTGACATTGAAAGGGTACTTTCCTTGATTGATCTCAGGTGACCAGAGATATTCCAACAAGTGGTAGTTCTCAAAAACTAGGTCACAGACATGTGAGAACTCAAAGACATACTTGCAACAAGGAAGCAAATGATAGAATGCCAGTATCGGTTGCATCCTGTCTTCAGAAGGATGCTCACATTGATGTGGAAGATGACACAGAAGATGCAATGACTTGCATGCCTGCTGAGCAAAGCTGTAGAGATACTGATTGTTTATTAACGAGTCAAGACCCACAGACATCTGAGGTACACCAAAGCACTAGCGACAGGTTAAGATTGCATCCACCCAGAATTGGAAAGGATGGACAGAGGACAGAGAATGCAGATGGAAGTACTGGTCTTCCTCAAGACACAATGTCTGATAATTCTTCCAAATCTGTGAGAGATGCATGTGTACAAAGTGTCAAGACCATGACTTCACAAGATGAAAACAGTGCTAAAGGAACAGTGACCATAGGCGAGGACAAATTGAAAGCAAAGAGGAGAAGGGGAAGACCAAGGATAGAATTAGACGATGCAGAAAAGTAAGTCACAAGAGAATGAAATATAATGAATAGTAAAGGTTAGGGAGATATTTATCCAGGCAATATGAATTTTGTATTCTCAGAGCAAACGTGTAAAAGTGGAATATAAAATTCTAGAGTGTAAACACGTAGCAAAGCCAAAATTTATGGGAAAGCTACAAATTAAAAGATTAGTCCCCCAACATACCCTGAAACAATTAAATTCATTCCCATCTGTGGAAAAGAGATGTATCCAATCCAATTCTCATGACAACTGGTGTCATCAGATCAGACTTCTTCCTTATATCATTTCCAGTCATTGCAACCTTTGAACGTTAAGACATTCTTAGAAAGCCTTTTCCATGTTGACAAGACTTGGCCTAATTTTACAACTACATGTACTACTTCCCTAGACCCCCCCCACAGTGTCTCCACCCACTGCCATTGTAATCCTTTGCAATCTTTATGTCCAGAGAGGCCATAACATTCAATAAACGATTAAAGGGGATTCAAGCTCGGGACCTCCCAAGAATGTTCTCCTGTCGCAGTTGCAGCCAGAGATTCCAGGAAGCGGAGGACCTCCGAATGCACACCATCACTGCTCACCTCCCCATTAGTATACCAGACAACAGTGATTGCTCAGTGGAAAAGCATGGCGAGATATGCTTCACCCATATTGAAATTGATCTTGGTCTCTACCAGCAAGTCAGTGAGGTAGACATCCAGGAACTGGCGATAGAGCTCAGATGCTGCCCAGAATGCAACAAGTATGTTGAGGACTTCAAAATGCACCTTGAGTCTCACATGATGAAGAATTACATCTGTGAAGCATGTGGCAAGGGATTTGCTTGCAGCAAGCAGTTGAAACTACACAGTATTTACCATGAGATTGATCGAACTGGTGAAATGCAATATTCATGCCAATTCTGTGGTAAAAAGTTCCGAAGTGCCCAATCACTGTCCATTCACCGGCCATTGCACAACAAGGCCAGGAATTATATCTGTCAACAATGTGGGAAAATGTTTAAGGCCAACACACGACTACAGAAACACATGGCAACCCATGCACAGCACAAACGCTATTCCTGCTCTTTCTGTGGACGAGGGTTTGCACAAAAGTGTAACATGACTAGGCATCAGAGAACTCACACGGGAGAAAAACCTTACACATGCAATCATTGCAACCAAGCATTTAACCACAATATCAGTCTTAAGAAACATTTGAAGAAAGAGCACTTGATTGAACCAGAAGATAAAACTTCTAAAGAAGTAGAAGCAATAGATAACTTCCCAAGTGGACGTCTGCCCTCAAAGAGACTCAATGTTAAGTAAAATGAGTGGTGTTTCAGTGTTACTTGTATCAAATTTGCTTCATATCTGAAGTTGGAATAGTGCTGCATTTTAATAAGTAAGATGTGTTTATGGGCATTTTAGGATGCCTTGTTTGTAATTTAAAGTTTGGCTGCAATGAATTTTTCTTGGACACAGTTTTATGCAACTTTGTCCTCTTCTCAAGACACGTACATGTATGTGAAATTTTTTTACACCCCCATTTGGTTAAATGCACTGAAACATGCACTTTTTGAAACACTTCAAATTGTCTATGCTTTCATGGACAGCTGAGGGCGCTGTTGCAGTGATGTCATCCAGGGAAGACATAATTTATTGTATAGGTTTTCCTATTAAAATTGATGACCCAGAATTTACTTACTAAACAACATTTCTGAGGAAAGCTTTGATTCGCACTTATTGCTATGCACCTAAATAACAATAAATCAGCAAAGAGAAAATTTGGTCCAGCAAAATCTATAAAAACGCACAACTTTTTATGTATAAACTAATGTATCAAACATGGAGGTTTTCTTCCTGGGATGACATCACAGTTTTGCTCATTTTCATAAAAACCAAAAAGGCAGCAAAATACTATTTGAAATAGTGAAAAAAATGAAAATCAGGTTAACTGAGACACAAAGGTGCATTTTGAAGGCTTGTATTTAAACAAGTTGATTGCAGCTACATGTACCCTTTAAAACCCATGATGCAATTGCATGTTATACCATGCAGTTAAACTTCAACAAACAGTGTATGTGATGGTTTTCAATTGAAACACCTTTTCAAATTTGGATTGGACAATTGCATTGTTAATCCTTAAAAATGAAGGTCTAAGGCTACTCACCTGTTCACTTTTGGGAATTAATGTTTACATGACAAGGCAGAGCCTAAGGAGACAAATGGACAGGTTTCCTAATTGCCTTTGACTGCATGATGGAATGAATTGCAGTATGTCCTAAGTTATTGAGGAATGTTGGCAACATTTTTTGTTACCATCCTGCCAAATTTTTTTTTAGAATCCCCACTAAAAATAAATTAGGAAACTTTGAGAATGAGGCCTAGTACATGTACACAACGCTGTACGAGGGACTATTATTAACCGTAACAGTCTTCAGTCCTCCAACAGGTGAAAGATTGAGGAGTTTTAGGGCTAATGTTATGGCAATGCATCTACACACTTTGGAAAAAGGTAACTAAATGTACGTGATTTGATTATATATCAATATACATGTACATGTGGTGACCACTTGGTGCATTGCTCATTGTGATATTGTCTCTACCTGAGTAATTTGCTTAAAGATAGAGTAGCTACAATCATTACCAACCTCCAAAATGCACCTTTGTGTCTCAGTTCATCTTATTTTCAACTGTTTTTTCACTATTTCAAAGAGTATTTTACCCCCATTTTTGTTTTTTGTGCGAGTATTTCCACATTTATGAGCAAAACCGTGAGGTCATCTCAGGAAGAAGCCTTGGTGTTATATTGGTTTGTACACAAAAAATTCCAGCGTTTTGTAGATTTTCTCTCCTTTACTGATTCATTGTTGTTTACATTCCGGATTGGCAAAGCATCAATCTCTCTCCCAGAAATGTTTCAGGAAGTAAATTCTGGGTTCACTATTTGAACAGAAACTGCACTGAACCATGTCTTCCCTAGACGACTTTACAGCAACAGCGCCCTCAATAGTTCTGGAAAGCATGGATAATCTTGTTTAAAATCAGGCATTTTTCAATGGATTTAACCAAATAGGACAGTAAAAGAGTTTTCATACTTTGAAGAACACCAAGTTGAAGAAAAATTCTCTAAGAAAACTCAATTGCAGCAACACTTAAATACATGTACATGTAAAAGTTTTTATACAAAGTAAAAAAAGATAAACAGTGATGACAAATTTTGCCTCTTTGCACTTCTCTTGAACAATAATTGGACAACTTGAAATTCTATTTAAACTTCATTTCGGTTAATGCTGAGGCCATTTCGAAAATGTTTATTCTGCGTATTGTAAAAAAAATTAGGCATGAAAAGTGTAAATAAATGACCCAAAAAGCTTTTTTTCAGTAGCATTCACTCTTGTGTAAAGGGCTTGTAGTCAAGACCATCACAAGACCTTTCACAAGGCCAGACACAAGACTATGCACAAAACCATTCATAACACCCTTCAAAAGTAGCAGTGTGGACAATGACAAAGGAATGCTTTTGTTGCATTTCATTTGAATAGCTTGAGACTTGAATTCAGACTGAAGGTCTTGTGTTAGTCTTGTGATGGTCTGAAGAGGTCTCTACTACAACACTGTTATTTAATTCTATGATCCGAAAATGTTAATTCTTAATTGTCACACTGTGCTCCTGCAGATTGGCAAACCAAAGTTAAAAATATTGAAATAAACAGGCAAACAAACTTTAAACCAACTGAGTTCATACAGAGTTTATTGCAATATTTCTAAAACATTATGTACTTGAATGCATAAGTATGATATCTGTTCACTACTAATGAAAATTTATTAAAAAGATCACAATGACTAATTGTTATGTTGATATGACTATTGTTGGACTGCAATTAAAAACATCAAAACTCATCTGACAGTCCATGGCCACTTGCTGTAATTCCTAAAAGCTGCCAAACACATTTATCAGCTCATAATGAAAAAGGCTAGGTTTTATTTCATAAGACTCCTCAGTTGAGAATACTGCTCAACATATTTGTGTACTCAGCACAAAGTTTGTGGAGAACCAGTTACAACATGCTGATGGCACCTTGGCTGGTAAACCTGTATGCCAAGCATGTACATGTACAGTATTGTCAATTCTTAGCACAGCAGTAATGAATAAACGCAGCTGCTAGTTTTGTAAATATTACATCTAAGTTTCAGTCCACCGCCGAGGACATCCTTAATACAGTTACCAGAGTTGAGCATGTACATATAGACTAACTCTATTCCATTATTGATACAAGCAATCTACCTGAGAACATCCTGTGCTGTGTAGATACATACAAGTACATGTTTGACACAGACTCCATTTTTTCAGTCAAAATGAACAACATGCGTTTGGAAAAAGAAAGCATGGGGCAACAAGTTGGACTGTAAGAAAGCATGAGTATACCTGTGAGATTCAGTGTACTTCAACAATATCTGAGCCAAACCTACACATACATACACAGAAGTCTAACATGGTAAAATACAAAAATCTCTAATAATCAGATTTAGCTATCACAAACATATAAAAGCACCAAAAAAGCATTTGCTAGAATATATGAATATGAACAATAAAATCCACAATGGTTCAATTTAATGGCAAGACGTGACGTGTTCAAGAATTTGTTCTAGTCAATACTATTTTGTGGTTCAGTTTACATGGAAAGTGGCGAATTAAATACAGCAAGATTGTCCACTTTAATCCACAAATGCCTTTAAGTCTGACAAACCATGAAATAGCTCTTTCCCTAAACATAAAATCATGGGTAGGGGGCCAGGGGGTGGAGACCTCAACTGTGGTAGACTGACAAACCAGCAGTGAAGAGGATCATTTCTGAGACATTTTCACCAAAAGTGGCAATTTGTATTACTTCCTGTTTCTTTTCCCCTCCTCTTTTTCCTTTCATTTCTTTACAAACTTTTTAAAGGAGACAAAGCAGACCCCCAACACTCACAGTCTAAATGTACTCTAATCAACAAGTAACAGGGGGCCTGTCATTTGTGGTGCTTATACAAATTCTTGTCATTTTTATGATATAGCTTTGACTATGGCTCCTTGTAAAGTGAAGACGTGTCATTTGGATACATGGCTAGCTACTGTGTAATGTGTCCTTATTGTGACAATGACAACTGATCCCATAGCCAATGTCTGTACACAAAATTCTGTGAACAATCCAAACGTATAAGACTTGTCCCCCTTTTTGTTTAATCTGTTTTCAGTAAGATTCACTGAAATTGTAGCCAGTTGGGTAGTTTTTGCTACCGAAATTCAACAAAATTCAATAATATCTACCGGTGCTACAGAGGAACGAAGACATGTATGTATAAATAAAACAAAACTTTTAATTTTTTTTTACAATTAGCACACATGGTTTTCTTGATTTCAGTTAAATCTACCACATGATTAAAACTTAATTTGCATATTAAAAACTTGGCATGCATATATAATTACGACTTTAGCTAACACATGATTGTATTGAGGATCACAGTGTCCACAAAAATTCAGTAGCTTCAGTTTAAATGTTTCAATCATTTCTACCTTGAAGTCAATATTAATTGATTTGGCACCAAACATTTACATGTAAAAGACTAATCTGGATGTGACATGGGAATATTGTCATGTTTTTATGTACAAGCATAACATGTATGTGAACTTAATAAATTCATATTTTTCTTTTATCCCCAGTCAGCGGCGTAACTAGGGGGGGCGCATGCCCTCCCAACAGAGGCCCGTGCCCCCCCCATTTCAAATTTGGAAATGGACAAAAATATATATAACTGGTTCTCCAAATCTGTGTTTGAGATAGCATTTATGTCCATTTATGTAGGTAGCCGTTTAGACAGGCACATAGTTCAATTATTTTTTAGTGCCCCCTGAAAAAAAATTGTGCCCCCCCCAGGTGCCCCCTCAGCTGTAGCACCCCAGTTACGCCACTGTCCTCAGTTTTGATAGGGGGAGGAGTCCTAGTTACGCCACTGTCCTCAGTTTTGATAGGGGGAGGAGTCCTAGTTACGCCACTGTCCTCAGTTTTGATAGGGGGAGGAGTCCTAGTTACGCCACTGTCCTCAGTTTTGATAGGGGGAGGAGTCTACTGAATAGATCTTATGCAAGCATGAGGGCTTACAGTTAAACTGAGTCAATGGTTTCATGTATTTCATGTCTCTACCAATCCTGAACCTTCTGAGAAATATACTATTTTGTATAAATATTTTATATTCAGGTAAAAATAATTATTGTCCTCACTTTCTTAAGGTCACCAACAAATCAGTTAATCGACATATCCATTGGGTGACTGAATGACTAATCATAAGTGGTGTTTTCTAATGAACAAGCTTTCACTATTTGGTTTCACATTTTAATACTAAAAAGTGTGAAATCTGCATTTAATTTGAGCCATAAAAGCTGAAAATATTTTCATGCTGAAAGGTCATGAAAAGGTTTTGTGTTTAGATAATACAATTTCAATTACATGGTGTGTATTAAACAAATTATATTCCCAAACACAATGTGTTCATGTGATTGAGGGAATCCTGAAATATCCAAATGAAGATGATATTATGCTTGTAGTATAAAATCTATGTACATATATTTGCATATTTTGCATGCAAGTTTTCACTGGTATAGTTGGTAAAATCATTACACTACAGATGCATCCAAAGAGATCCAAGACTGACGAAAGGACCAGGCAAAATTACTGCATCTGCCTGTAATAAATTGAGCCAAACACTAAACCTAATAGTCCTTGATAATTCACCTGTTGGGAGGATTGAAGACCGTTTAACCACTTGCTGCTGGTTTGAAAAATGCAGTGCACACATACATGTATGGCACATTTTCAAGATCTTTAGTTTTCAAAAATCTTCAAAAATTCATCATTTCAATTAATGGACGTTTACACCCACACAAATTACTGTCTGGTGGCTACTCTAATCTGACAGACACAATTATTGAGGCCCGAGTATTTCAGCCAGGCCTGCCGCCTTGTAAAAAGAGCCCAGATTGTACTGTGTTCTATAAATTCTTTTGTTCACGAACCTAGCACAGTACGCTGCCGACATCTTTTCAATAGAGGCCAGATTAGCATGCAGCAGTGCTGTGTGGCTCATCGCTGCGGTGGTGGAGTGCTTTTGTCCCCGGTGGTAATCCGCTTGCACTAAAAACCAGGTTGGATTATCTCCACTATTGAGAGTGAAAAAATGTTGGTAATGCCCAGCAGCCTGGTCTTTTGTTACAAGTACTGTCTTTTGTTACAAGGCCTAGTTGACTTTGTCCGATTTCGCAAACCCCAGCCACGCATATGAAGAATACGTGTCTGGTGCTGGAAACCCCGGCGGCAAGTGGTTAAGGCTTAGAATTTGGCCCAGGAAACACAGATCTGAAAAATGTGTGCTCTTTTTGTGATTCCAAATTCCTAAACTTATGTCAGGTAAAATTGTGGCTCACGTTGGTAATTGGAAATCATCTCGTTCTTGAAGAAGAAATTCCTTTTATATTAATCAGTACTTCGGGTAGCCAGTTTTCCAACAAATTTCGGAGAAACACGACAGGCTTAAGAGTTTGAATGGAGGCAGACTTCCAGAAGGGTTCATGTCTGACCTTACAAAGCTGGAGCATTATTTTTCCTCAAAGATTTCAGGGAAGTTTCCAGTGTCTCAGGAAGGCAGATATCGGTAGTACATTTACTATGTTAATCATGGCAAAATCCATGAATTCGCAAAGATCTTAAACTTTTTCAGGTGCACGTCTTTTGCCGATTTCTCAAGTTCAATTTAATTCTATTTCATTCAATTAGTGTCTGTTAAATGTTTCATTCTGCATCTCATTTTTGTACAAAATGTTTGCCACATGCCACCCTTTATAGTGTGCATAGCTTGTAGTAATGAAGTACATAATCCTATGTGCTGAACCATGTACTATAAAAAGGGTTCAAATGACATTAAAGAAAATATAATAGGACTATTCAGCATGCATACATACCGGTGAATGGTCCCAACTGATTTTTTGGTACATTTTGATCACTCACTGTTTAGGACTTTCCATTGAATTTTCTTCACTGCTTCTTTGGAGGTAGGCTGGTGCACCTTGGTATTGCTGTGATCCCCAGTACATGTATGGCATAGACCCTGCTACTAAGGCATTCAGATCAAGTCCAGGCATGGCATTCATCATACCTTGCCTATACTGTGGGTGACCCTGCCTATCTGGTGAGGTGACCGTCTCAAAACTGGGCAGTGGTGGTCTTTGATTGGTTTGGTGCTGTGGGGGAAGCTGCCGCATACCAGGTATCTGTATATGTGGCAGGGGTTGTGTCTGGGTGTGCGACGGGATTTGTTGCTGCTGCTGTTGCTGCTGACCTAACTGAAGTGCTTGGGAATGAGGGATTTGCAGCGGCAATGGCTGTGAGGGCAGGTTGTTCTCAGGAAGTTGTAAACGCTGTGCATGGCGCAGTTGATTAGTTATGAGTTCAGCCTGCAACAATCTTGGGTTTTCTTCTTCCTCATCTGGTGAGCATGGATCACTGTCCATGTCATCATCCAAGTGATGCTGATCCGGCTCAACGGGATGGGTGTGGCTATAAGACTGGTTGTGCATCTGTAGATGTTGTGGGTGCATGTGCTGTGGGGGATGTACCTCTGGTTGGGGTTGGGGTTGCATTGATGGATGGATAGGGAGATGCTGTTGTTGCTGTGGCTGCAGTGGTGGTGGTTGATATGGAGCATGCTGTAATGGTGTCTGCATCTTGGATTCTACAAAGTGTTGTGTTGGGTCTGGAGCTCCTGATAGCGGTGGTGAAGTGGGTAAAGCCTGGGGAGTTTCAGAATTCTCTCTCTCCATCCTGTCATTTGATTCGGAATCTTTCTCCTGATTTGTTTCTTTGATGAACTGTGTCATTTGATCGCCTTTGACAGCAGTCTCTGCTGGTGCTGATGCATCCTTCCCTGGCTGAGTTTTCTTCTTCTTAGTTTTACCTGACGTGTTGAAGTTGGGCCGACGTGTCCTTCTAGCAATGCTGTACTCAGTCTCTTTACCTTCGTCATCAAACTCGATGACTGGCTGCGTGATATATCCCAGCTGCCACATGTCAATTCCGTGTTCTTTCTTTTTGTGTGTCTTCAAGCTGACTTTGTGTGAATAGGCCTTCTTACAGATGTCACATACATAGGGCTTTTCTCCTGTATGTACCCGGGTGTGAACCTTCATGTTGGAGAGTTCTGTGAAGCGACGTCCGCAGAAAGGACAGACAAACGGCTTCACCTCTTCATGCATGATCACGTGCCGCTTAAGATGGGCCTGGACTTTGAAACTCTTACCACAGGTCTGGCAGATGAAGTGGCGATGCTGGGAGTGTAATGTACGGTGCTTGCGCAAGCTAGCTTCCCAACGGAAGGCTCGACCGCAGCGGTTACAGACAAAAGGTAACTGGCCTGTATCACCCAGCTCATGAACGGCCCGGTGATGGAGCTTGAGGGAACGACGCTGACGGAACAGCATCCCACATTCCTCACACAGGTAGTTAGAATGGCAAGAAGTGTGAGCAAGGATGTTTGAGAAGAGTTTTTGGCACAGTGGGCAGCGAGTCATGACACGAGCGATGTTCTTAAGATCAGCTGGGACTTCCTGATCACCATCTCCTTCATCCTCTGCATCTGCTCCTCCTTTCTCCATCTCTTCACTAGTTCCATCTTTGCTGTTGGATGCAGCATCTTCGTCCTTGACTCTCGATTCTTCAATGCTTTCACTGTCCTGGGCAAGATGTGTCTGCCAGTGAGCCTTCATAACATCTGCTGAGTCCAACTGACAAGAACACTTACGACACCAGTACACCTTCTTAAGAACAGCACCAGCACCAAACAGTTCTTCTATGGTTTTCCTGTAAAAGTGCAAACAACAACAAATTAGTGCTATCTCCTTCCGGCTGAAAAGCAGACATCAAAAATATACACAAAAATCTCTGTTATTGTTCATATTGTTAGTAAACAAGTTGTGTAAACGCAACAAAAGGAAACACTTTATGGTAAGGATTTGTAGGAATGTCATGAGATTTATCTATTCACAGAAGAGGTAAGGTTCTGAAGAGAACCAGCGAGTGTCAACTCGATGTTTGAACTAGGATGTTCTGGCCATCATCAGGAGAGTTAGGATGGCCAGAGCCCTGACACTCTCCTGAGATTGTCAGAGCATCCTGGTGAAAAAGTTGAGTTCACACTCACTGGTTCTCTTCAGAACCTTACGTCTTCTTGAAGAGGTACAATTATCCTATGGTGGGCCCGCACATTCTTATCACATGTAGTACTTCCACCATGCAAAGTTTCAAATCTTACTTGGAAAACCCTTTGAAAATGTGCATTGCAAGTTCTGGAACATGGGACATACGGATACTCCAATATTAAACATTTACAATTTTTATACAGTCTTTAAGGTTACCAATTGTTAATTAATACACCAAATACATGTATGCTGTCAATTTCAAAGACACAGAGTTCTTAATATAGACACAATTAATACCCCCCAAAATAAAGTGTTTTTACAAAAGGTCTGGTAGAAAAATGAAGATATCTTTTCACTCTGACTATCAGTTCAATATTTTTGTCAAACCTAAATAACACGATTCTCTAAAATCTCTGTAGATTCTGAGGGTCCTGGTAAAAACATCCATCTAAGAGCACACCAAAGCTGCATGATTCCAACTGAATAATAAAGGTATACTTGGGCTAAATGATCTAGCCATTATCAAACTCACGTCTGGCAGATTTCAACAAATGACTTACGTTGTAGCCTTGGACTTTTTCTTCTGCCTCAGCTGTTTTATTAAGAGCTTCTTCCGAGCTGTGGTGCATTTCAGCTTTTTCCTTGGAGATGTCTCACTGCCTCCAAGCTTTTTAGCCTTGACTGGCACCACCTTTTCTTCAGCTACAATATCTTCATCTTCTTCATGGTTCGTCTTAGACATCTTTGACACCTGCCTTTTTCTTTGTTGCTTTGTTTTATTCTTGCCTTTGAGGTGACGGCCCAACCATGCCTGAAATAAAAGTTTGATTTAAAAATGCGAACTTCTTTTAAGTAATCTTGCTTGGAAAAAGATCATGCGGGAAGATTACTCAATTTGTTTAAAATGCTGGTAAGTATCAAGTACTACAGGAAACAATGTGTACAGTAAAAAAGAGCAATTTGTGCCATTTCTTATTGATGATACTGAGATGCCTCAGTCCCTCAGCAAGATACTGTACAGCAACGGCTATTCACTGTGCAACTTTTTTTTTAAAACCTCTATCTTAAAAGTTCCTCTGGCAACTTCCAACTCATTTTGCTAAAGCCATCTGCCAGGAACCAGTCTCAAACACAATATACTGTGATAGTCAGGCTGCTGACTTACTTCAGTTTCACAAAACTCTTCCGTCCTAATAGTATGTTTGCCAATAAGCTCCTTGATATTGACCAATGGATGGAAACTACAGGCTCTGGGCATGAAAACAATTATTGTTACATTGAGAATGAGCAAACTTTTCCTACTTTCTTCAAGCCATGACGGCTAGGTTCATGAGGTGAATAGTCCAAATCCTCTACGTTGTCTTCCATCTCCATATTGCAGTCTTCATCACTTGCATCATCTTCATCTCCGTCTACTTGCCCTTCTTCCTCATCACGGCCATTCACATCTTGTCCCTTGGCAGATTTCACATCTCTCTTGAGAGTAATCTTCAGCTTGACTGGTGACTTTTTTCTGCTGCCTGGGATCCTAGAGACTGAGGCTGACCGTAAAGCTCTGTCAAGAAAAGATATTTATAAACATCGTTCAGGTTAAAAGCTGTACATACTGTGACTATGGGGGATGTCTGCATATATTTTCAAAGTCAACCCATCCTGATGAGATGTGTACGACTTCCAGAAAAAAAGTTTTCACTGCAAGGGACTGGCAAAAAGTCCCACGGACTGCTGATAAGGTGTCTTCCACTCAATGGCTAACTTCTGAACTATCCATACGATGCACTGATGGCTGCTGACCAACAAAGTGGCCACTGGTGGCCACTGTAAAGATCGAAGCCTGATCATTACCTCATCAGATGATTTGCTGATGACATGCTGGGCATTTCTTAGGCAGATAATTGTTAATTCCTCTTGAAATTGTCAGTGCAAGAAAATTGGGTATTTGTCTTAAGGCAAATGATGAAGTGTCTTAATGGGTTTGGTTGGGCATATGCGGGTGGGGGTAAGGATTTGAACAAAATAAAAATCTACAATATACCCAAGTACGCCACACAAATATGCCATTGTACCTGGGCACAATAAGGGCAGGAATGGCTCTCCGCTTGAAGAAGCTGGCTAGTTTATTCTTGAGAGTAGGATTACAACACTCAGTACCCCATACCACATCTCCATCAAGAATGGCTTCCATGCTGTGAAAAGGACATGACAAACATTGCTGTTATCAAATGTTGCTGTTAAGCACAATCTGGACTCCGTCCTGAGTTGCTGAGCACTTTCACAGTAATACGTGCCTACCCCATGAACTCTGGGGTTCGTTGTCTGCCATGCTCATGGGAAAGTGATGGATGACAAACTCTGAGATAGTTCTTGAGGTAATATGAATCATCTTGTTCATGGGGTAAAAAGAGCAAGTTATGACATGGCTGAGCACAAATAGCAATTGAAAACGTGTGCACTTCCAAGTCATCATGCAGTATGTCCTTTCCTCAGGTTCATTTGGCATTACCAATGCGTCTTCTTGTTTGCCCTGTGAACAGGTGAATCAGATGAACAAGATGACAAATTAGGCATGTTAGGCCAAGGCTACACCCGTATACAGGGTCCTACGTATGATGTATACTCCTCTGTCAATATACTGGGCCCTGTACTGATTGATAGTGATTTCTTTTGATCAAGTTTATCTGTGAGGTACGGGAATATTATCAGACATTCACTGGATTTTATGAGCTGAAATTGCATTGGTACATGTATATTCACTACTTACAGGGCTAACTATCCCCCAGGTTGCTATTTGTAGGAAACTCGCCTTTTCTCGTTTGGAGGAAATATTTTGCCTTTAGTTTGCATTTTCCCCATTCCAGATGATTTTGGGAGGATCTAGCCTCTAGGCCTACTGCACTGTCATGAAAAAGAAATGCTTCCTATTGCATGAATTATCGAACTGTCATTCCTAGGCCTAGTTATGTGTATTTAAATACCCTGTTTGAATATGAATGGAAAATGAACAGAATTTGAAAAAGAGAAAAAAATGAACTGAACTATTCAACTTTCACGGCACCAATCACTAAGAATGTCCCCTGACTAAGTAAAGTAGTACTACTACTAGTCGTAGGCCCAATGACGCGCACGAAAACACGCTTACCCATCCAGCAGCACTTCTGCAAGCTGAGCATGCGATTCAACACCAAGCCGAGTTTTCATAGCATCCCATCGATCTAACTGAGGTCCGATGGACACTTGCCTCAACCGACTACTTGGTGGTCTCCTTGACATTGCAAAGTCTGCGCTTCCAGACGATCTTCGCCTCCTGATCGGCTCGGAAATCGCAGTCAAAGGGGAAATGGGTGCAATCTCGACGACCTCGGGGCCGTCCTCCATTTTGGACTGGCGCAATATCATCGCGGGGTGGCGCTGCGTTTTGTAACGGCAGACACCAACAAAATCAAAGTTCTTGAAAGAATACCGCGAGGTCTTACAAAAACGTTATTAGCCTACTTGAATCACCATTATTGCTCTACATACAATAAAAAGAGAGCGTTGCCAGCACTAATTTGATTTCATCGCGGCTATTATTCGAGAGCAAGGTTGAAGAGAGCTCTCGACATTTTAAACGAGGGCACGAACGGAAAACATATGGGGGGGAGGCAGGACAACTGGCCCCAGAGACATATGCTGGCAATCTTTTAACTTTTAACTGAAAATGCTCTTATTTTAGAAACAGTATGAGCTTCTTTTTGAGGACGGGGTTACTCTTTATGGATGGGGGAAATGATAAACCAGATATACTACAGCTGTACTGCTGCGGTCATAAAGTCAAGTTTTTCTCGTAGGCCTATTTGGGTTCTTGGTTCTTAAGCCTACCAACTCCGATCAGAAAAGGAGTTGAAAGTATTGGGAGAAGGTCAACATGTTTATGCGCACACTTCAGGTGTCGGTGTCACTTAAGTTCCTGCTCCGAGAACGACAGACTGGAGTTTACAATTTAGGCTGTACCGTATGGGGCACTTATGTGCCAGCCTACTTGTATTGCACGTTTTAACTTGGAAGCCATTTAGTCGAGAGTCAATTTTTCGGGCGTAACGATTGACCTGAAAGCTGAAAGCTACGATCCTATAAAAATTGAGGGCTACCCGTGCATTTTAGTTTGATGTGATATTTGCTTGGTGGAAGTTGCATGAGATATAGGTTTGCAGGCACATCATGTAATCAATCTCTTTTGGAAGAGATTATAGAGATGAAAAAAAATGACTGGAGCGAGTGTTAACTCAATATTCGGCAGGATGCTCTGGCCGTCCTCAGGAGAGTGTACCAGACTGCAGCTATACTCAGGCTATATATTTGCACCAAGAACTGTACGTTTATTCATTAAGAAGCATAGCATTAATTAGGAAGAAGGTCCAGTTTTAGAGGCAGGAGGAAACTGGAGGTACATGTACTCGGAGAAAACCTGGGAGAGCATTGGAATGCGCTTAAAGCCAGGGCCAAGCTGGGACTCGAACCCAGGCCCCATTAGTGCAAAGCGAGGAAAGAACCACTACGCTAATAACCCACTCACCCTGACGCTTTCAGCATCTCAGGCTATTGGCGCTAATGACTGTATGTTTATTCATACACTTTATTAATCAGCACCACATTACGGAGTTAGGAAGAAGGTCCAGTTTTAAATGTAGGAGGAAACCGAAGCACCCGGAGAGCGAGTGTGGACTGGAAACTAAATGCACTTAGAGACTGGGCCAAGCCGGGACTCGAACCCGGGCCTCATTGGTGCAAAGCGAGGAAAGAACCGCGACGCTAACCCACTCCCCCTGTGCCAGACTGGAGTAGAGAGCTGGGTTATAAAGGTATCCCGGAGGCGGTGGAGCGGAAACGGGATTCGCCGGTAGTATAACCAATTAACAAACTTGCTGCGCATGCACTGAAGCATGAAGGTGTTGGACCCTGTGGTGGCACGGGGATGCAGAATTGGCAGGAAACCTTGGGTTCGAGTCCTAGCGCCTCGGAGAGGGGGCTTGGAGAGGCTGATGCGTTAGTGGTGATAACAGTTCAGTTATGGAGGGCGGTCTTGACAATCTTGGTGCAGGTTGATCTGGTCGCAGATCTCAAGGGTTCTGCAGACGAGGGTGCGGTTAACCACGGGTTGACTGGGTCTTGATGGCTGTGGTGGAAGGATCTCTGGTGCAGGTACCGATCGGTGTGGGTGGGTTTGCGGTGTACATGGTGGTGCGTGGTTGAGGGTGTCGTCTGGGTTCCTAAATAGGTGGAATGGGGGGCGATGGAAGGATCTGCGGTGGAGGTATCAGTCAATGCACGGTGGGTGAGTTTGCGATGGTTTTTCATGGAAGGACAGCTCGCCGCCCTTTTCTTGTTTCACGGTGAACTTGATGGGGGTGGTGCTTTTCTTTGAGGTAATCCAGGAACTCCTAAAGGGTGTCTTGACGGCATGGCCAGATGACGAACAGCTGCACTATAAAAAGGCAATTATTTAACCAACTTTTTTGCGCAACGTTGTGCAGATAGTCAATCCCATCAACAACTGACCAACATGTAGATCTTATTAGGCACAACAGTTTCCCTAAATTTTGGTAAAATGTAGCTCTTCCGACATTTTGGGTAAAGTTGATAACCCAATAGTTTGGCAAACGAATTTAAACTTTTGATTGGCCAGTCATTATTTCCATTTGCCGTTGATAAGCACAATTTTTAATCTACTATTGGTTCATAGTCCTATTTTGATCACTCGTTTGGTAATGGATGGCCACATTAACCAAGTATTGGGAATATTTTACGCAAATTTATTTTTTTTATTATCCCAACTCTTATCCAGTTTGTTTTTAAATAATTGTCAATTTCTGGTCATAGATTATTGCCAAACTATTGAACAACCTCAATATTCATTGTTGGGCAAAATAAATAACAGATCATACAAAAATCACTAGAATTCAAAACTATAACATCACTCATTTAGTTCATTACAAAAATAAATTTTCACATGATCTGTATGTTAACACTGTAATTACACTGTGAACTTCTTATGTGAACCAGCTTGATGTCTAGATGTCTTGATGTCCAGCAGGGTGTCTAGATAAACCAAAATGGGGGTTGCAATTAAAGTAGGTTTGAAATTAGGTTGAACACAACTGAAAACCTCTCTACAGTAATTGTGTAGGGCCTATATTGTTTTTTTTCTGTAACTTGTTAAAATTCCACTGGGAACATTGAACCACATTATATATCTTTACAACTGTGGAAAATTTTAGGAATTAGAGAATTGGAACACCACATAGATTCCAAAGTAAAAGTTATCTTTGCTTCCCACAGGTCTTGTATACTATATACACTGGTTTGAAACAATTTTCAGCACAGATTTGGGCCAGTTGTATCGGACTTTCTGAATGACAGGCATATCCTTAGTGTCCTATAGTGCCGTAGAATCCTTGTTTGGCCCCTGTCCGAAAAAAACACACGCCTGGGGAACATGCCAATGTCCTTCGTCGATTGTGATACTTGCAATCAAAATCGTTGTACGATTTGTAGTATTCATCAGCTGCTTCAAGGAAGGAAAACGGTGACAGTACTTGTTTCTCTAGGATGACGAAAATAGTGGTTAGTTTAAGTCTGCTGTCGCTGTGCAATTCGCTGTAGACGATCGTGGGTATCCAAACATCTCGGGGCGTTGATGATATCCAGCAAAAAAAAGAAGAAGAAAAGAAAAAAAAACTAGTGTTAACATTAAAAAATTACAAACTTGCACATAGGCCTACATACAACGGGACCCAAGGCCCAGCCAGAATGTGCATTATTATAACATAACTGTTTGTAGGAGTGGTCAACGGTAGAGTTCATGAATTCGGTCACTGATCAGCATAAGAAGTTCCATTTTTACACAGTACTATTATGCACAGCCCTGGAGAGGCGCAACGTGACCCCTAAATTAATCTTTATTTACGACTTGTTTATGAAACAAACTTACTCTAAACTGGTCTACAGCACTTACTTCCTACAACTGTAAACGTTTTGTTACGTGCGACTAATTCAAAAGAACCAAAATGAAGAATGGCACGACAGAGATGAACATGCAACTGAGAAAAGGAAACCAGAAACTACATTTTCTGAAATTTATTCAGTTTACATACCAAAAATAGTAATAATTAAAGGAATTTAAATCTAGGCTACTATTTGTGTTTAAAATTAAATAATTACTTATAGGTTGTTGCTGAGGACTTGATTGGGTGCGTGCTGTCAAGTTGACTATTAGTATTCTATTGCGGAAGGACAACTCGGGCACAGCTGGCTGAAGCACTGGCTGGTGCACCCGATTGGTCTGATCCAGGTCACCTGGGGTGAGCCTCAGAACCGGTCTGGTCCTAGGCAATCTAGGAAGAGCCTCAGAACCGGTCTGGTCCTAGGCCATCTAGGAAGAGCCTCAGAACCGGTCTGGTCCTAGGCCATCTAGGAAGAGCCTCAGAACCGGTCTGGTCCTAGGCCATCTAGGAAGAGCCGCAAAACCGGGTGGTTTGAGCCATCAACTTGAAGGAGAGAGAGAACAGCGGAGACTCACTGTCTCTACATGCAATGCATGTGGCAAGCCATCAACTTGAAGGAGAAGAGTACAGCGGTGACTTACTGTATCTCCTGGCAGTGTATAACTGGAGGACCAATTGGACATTGACTGGAGTGATGAAGGTTGGCGACACCCATCAGTTGAAAAAAAGAACAGAGCCCCTGGCTGAACGGGTGCCTGTGGTGTGATGAGTGCACCCAAGCATGGTACAACCCACTTCTTAAATACATGTGCACCCAGAAAATAATAAAGGGGCCATTATAACCGGTCAGCCCACTGGGCAACATCTTAACAAAAGAATACTGGGTACAAGGCACAATACATGGGGTCTGCTGCAGAACAGGTTACACTTAAAATACCACAAATGTCTAAAGAAATAATTAAATTAAAAACAGCAGGCGAATTATAAAGGAGGAAATGTCCCATCTGTAATATTTTTTTCATAAATCTCACATGGAAAGACATTTTTCAGCTAAAACTGCCCTATCCTGCACTCAAGACTCATGCTGAATGTTTTAAGTTGTTGAATTAAATTTGCACAGCTCCCAGTGTTGAGACTAAGTATCATGCACATTTTCCCAACTGTGAGTCACTCATGAGATTTTTACCCACAAAATAAGCACAATTCATTTATGCCCATTTAATGGGCTTCAATGTACCCAATTTTAATGACATTTGTACTTCTCAATTTTGGTCACTCTAAAACTTTACCCAACGTACAAAAGCACCCACAAAACGGGCAAAAATCTACCAATAGTTGTAAGACTTAGTTCGCCCAGTAACTCCAGTGTCCATTATTTTTACAGTGTGGGTCATGGGATGACTTCGGGGCGATGGAGCATTAAATACGAGACACAATTCCAAATAAGAATTCTATCTATTTAGTCAAAATTGCTCCTAAACGGGGAACAAATTCCCGAGGCAAGCTTGATTCACGGGATTACAGCTTCTCCAAACTGTTCTTGATAATCGAAATTTCGAATATTCCACAGAGCAATTCAACAGATTAAGCGCAACCATGAGAATAGCAATTAACCTTGCGACTTGCGAAAAATACAAAAGCTGTGGTATAGATAATGCCAGTAAGACAACATTCAACTTTCCAGACTGATTTCAAGAAATGCACCTACTTCAAATCAGAACTACTGCATGTCTTTTGCCCAAAGATTTGCAGCGAAGACTTTCTTAGGGACTACGTCTTCTTCTGATTCTCTCAGAACGTCGTTTTACAAGAGGTATCTGGTTAGAGAAGTATGAAATTCTCTTCTGCAGTGCTAAGAACTATTTAGGCTATAATTCGCCAAAATACATGACAAATCACCGTGGTTGTTGATGAAAAAGTTAATTTTGAAGAACTGTATAGAGTAGGCTAAGGTTAAACACGCATGTATCATGCATTAAGAGTTGCAGAGAGTTACTACAGATTTTCAGGAAATATTTACGAAAATTAGCGGTCATGATATCTGCCATGGCATTCCAACACTGCAGGGGCCCTTTTTCCAAACTCACCTGAAAAGTGGAAAAATTCCCGCGGAAATTCAACGTAAACATAAGACTAAGAGGGCGCTTGCACAATCCCGCATTTTTAACCCTTGACCGTGCTCGCATTTTCCATGTCTCACGGAAATCAATCTGACATGTCCGGTACTTGGATAAGACTGGGTGCTTTGCACAGGATGGTACGAAGACCTGTGTGGTTTCCGTGTCATGGCGCCATTTTGTAGGCGGAATATTGTTCCCTTATCCGCGCTCTCATAAAGATTTTGGCCTGCCCATGCCGATTAGGTTGAACATCATTCAGCATCGACTGAAAAATCCCCGTAAGTATTTATTGTTTAATGATTCACTCTGTTATTTTCAAATTCGTTATAGAAATTTTAAAGGCGTAGGGTCTATTTAAGTTCTTAAAAGGGCAACTTCGATTAATGTCAAGCAAGCTCGGACTACAAAGTGCATGTAGGCCTACACGTACGTACACGTATGTCATTAAGTTGAGTATGAACAGTACGCTGGCCTGGGGTGCGCGCAGCGTGACTTGAGCTTGATGCAAACCAAACCACGGTCGCTTGTTGTGGTGGCCGAAATCCTTGACAATTTCATCTATACTATGCCTATACACAAAATTATTTGAGAAAAATTGAAGTAGGCCTACGGCCTTTTGATTTTTAAGTGATTCGCCCCTAACACTTTGTGTTTGACATTGATGACGAGACTATAAGCTGAAAGTATAGGGGAGAGGAGTGCAAGAATGTTCGCGTTTAATGTCTTTTGTATACACAATCACTGAGTATATAATTATATCCATATAAAATTGTAGAGACATGCTCCCGGAAATTCAACTGTCTGATAAAGTAGCATGGTGTACGTACACTTGATGCAGGTACATGTACATGGAGGCCTAACTCGAAATGCAGAAAGGACCAATCAGTACTTTTGAACGATTTCGGCAAGAAGCAAAAAACCACGTAGGCCTACTGGTAAAGCTTTATAGGCCTAAGTGAAGCATTGATTTTTTGTATATCATCCCAGCTTTTGGTTTAAATAATTGATTTCAATATAATCCTGCTGAGAAAAGGTAGCAAAAGACGAACGTCCCTGATTCATACCGGTAGATGTAGGCCTACTGTAATTCCAAAGGAGAATATTTCGTCCTACTTTAATTCCATAGGAGAACATTTCGTTTTCATTCTAGATTCCATTTTTCGTTTGTTCGAGAGCAGTTTCATTTGCAAAACTTCTGCAGAGACAAGTTGTTTATTATAAGGATATTTTAGTCAGCGTTCAAATTTGTCGGCCAGAATTTTGAGGCGATTGTCGTGATGGACTATACAGGCCCGTTGCCTGACCAGAGACGGGGGGGGGTTCGTCAAACCCAAAAGTGGAACTTTGGCACTGTGAACACATATTTTTTATACAAAGGCCTATCTTAATGTGCTTTGGAACAAAACATCAACAAGTTCCATGTTTGTCGCGAACCGAAGGAAGCATGTTAGACTTGCATAGGCCCCCTACTTCAGTTTTTAATATTCACGGCGTATTATAAATTGGCCTGGTATATGAATTTGCTCTTCACTCGGCACCTAATTGAATTGGGTGCTGGTTGACGAGTGAATGATATGAACATAATTATTAAACAAATCTCAGAAAATCCCACACAAAAATTCAGAAGTTCTAAAAAGTCATAAATTCTAGTAAATCATTATTACCTCCACTCACCTAACTAAAAATGGTAAAAAAATATTTTGAAGCGCATTTTATTTTGCACTTAAGAAAAAAATGGGAAAATTGGACCAAAATAGGCCTAATATGTCATCGGAACTTTGTAGTGGTTATATAAAATCGACTTTTATGAATCAGAATATTGGAATTTTATTAAATTTCACCTTTTGTGATATTGAGATAAAATCTTGCTTCATACACAAACGTTCGAAGCGAAAATTCGAAGTGCCCATAGGGTCTGCGCCACTCTCCGGAGCGCATTCTTCAATTTGTAACGTAAATCAGCCCGGGAACCAGTGTTTTCATTAAACCTAAACTTTCTCGAGTCCTCGAAATTATTTTAGTGTCCATGCTGGGGGGTCATGCAGCAATTCTTTTGACCAGTAAAATGATAAACAACATGGATTACACAACCATAAAAGACAACAACGAACAGACGTACCACACAATTTGTGAGGTGTGAACGGTACTTACAGGGCATTTAAAAAGTCTATTCAGCCTTTCTCGACTGGTTTCCTTCATTTAGAACACGTGAGTAGAGCCTATGTAAACGGTAACCAATGAAAACATGACTCCCCGCGCCCGGAACGCTGCGCCGCTGGTACGGGTGGCTGGCCAGCCGCGATGCGCGTCGGCGGTCTGGGTTCGGCTGCTGCAGGCATGGCGCGGCGTTTAGTGACTGATTTCATTCTTTAAATGTTGCCGTATAAACCGCCCGCAGTTCATTATAAACCACAGAGACATTGTCCGCGTGAGAATCAATGTATAAACTGCGGCTTATATTCCGAAATTACGGTATATTAAAATTATATTATATATATATATATATATATATATATATAAAACACCAACGAGCGGAACTCGGAAGCGAGGGGGGGTTCGTTCGTACCCCCGACCCCCCCCAGCTTACGGGCCTGCGATAAGTTTTAGATTGAGGTTTAGTTTGGTATAGAATGGGATCAGTGGGCACAAAATGGTATAATTTTACCTTTGAATGCATCAGAGAAAAATTGTCGAATTAAAAAGAGGGAATGTTTCCAGAATAATCTAAATATATACTTGTTGAACGAGACGCTAGCCAGAAAATATTCACGGTGGTTCCTCAGTTTCCCCAAAGAATAGAGTTTTCCGGTATAATTTCCCAATACCTGTAGCCTTACAACAAAGTTGATAAAGAGCTCACAGAAGTCGGATGGTTTACGACGTCTTGTCTTTCTGGCTGGATCTTGTAATTTCCCTTCTCTTAAGATTCCAAATAGTTTCCATTTTCCCCAAGACATTTTTGGGAAAAAAATCATTTGAGAAATGTCCCCACACCAATTTCCTGTTTATTTTTGCGTCATGTAGGTCAGTGGGTTCAATGCAGCGGATCTGTGTTTCGCATCTTTGGATGGAGAAACACGGTTTTTACACGTGACCTGCGCATTTTGCGCACGATGTGTGAAAGACCAAGCTTGTTTGACCAGTTATTAATAACATCATCATAATGTGGGCAATCCACTTAAACCGTGAAGTATAAATGGATATGCACGTCATATGAAGCAAGATACGGGACGGAGAGCCCCCCCCCCAACACCTTTGTATTGGTCATTGTTTGATCGGAATCTCGGGAATTCTTTTCAGACATTTAGGGGGGGTGTTAGTATTAAACAATAGACTAGATGTCTATATGGGATTGGACATCGGGAGGGGTGGCCCCTCCGTCCCATATCTCAATCGCTGGGTATAGTGTCTGTAGTGAAATTAGCTTGACCGGGGGAGGGTAACCTGTGATGCATTAGCATGCCACCCAGGGGGGATAGATTAGCGTCAGTCGTTTCATTCTAATGAAACTGGAAATAAACTTCAGCCTGATGAGCCTAATGATTCACTAACAGACTTGTGATTTTTTTTTATAATGCTTGCATGCATTTTTCAATACGAAGCCTGGGAATGAACAGGTTGGAATTTTTTTACGGTCGGCTATTTCGTTCGCACGAGTTAGCAATTTGTGCGCACGAATTACCAACTTGTTTGCTCGAACGACTACAGAATCGTACGCACGAATTACTGAAGTACTTCGTGGGAATGAATAAGCAAAACATTGCAGTCTTTCGTGCCAACGACATTTTAGTTCGTATCGGAACGAATTAGCACTTCGAGCGAATGAAATAGAAACGTAAACAAGTAAACTAGGACAACGAAAACAAAAGCAAGCAACGAATTCCACCCTGTCTCCTCGTGAACTTCATAATGTGCAGTAATACCACAGGCATAGTATACAAATATGGACTGCTTTGATGATCCAAGGAGCATTCTGTTTTCCCTCGGCAAATAGTTTTACTTTACCGCGAGATAAAGCAGTCAATATTTGTTTCATAATACCTCCCCACAGATTCTGCAAAAGCTAAAAATCATTAATGAAACACCAAACTGGTATTTACGTTCATCAAATTTAATTCAAGAATTCCAAGCGGAACAGCAAAGTTTGAATACTTTCATTAACCAATGTTGTTTGCTATGAGCCGAAATACCCATGCTTTCGGTGCTACGGATATAGTTCTTTGGTTGCTACGGATATAGTTCTTTGGTTGCTACGGGTATAGTTCTTTGGTTGCTACGGATATAGTTCTTTGGTTGCTACGGGTATAGTTCTTTGGTTGCTACGGGTATAGTTCTTTTCAGAATGAGGCTGCATGGTATAGTCTTTTTGAAGCGGTGGTATAAAAATAGTAAAACTAACAAGCGTCACATGACACACTTTCGGCAATCAAGATACAAAATCTGTGGGTGAGGTGTTATAAAAACGCATAGACCCCAGTCTTGCGCGTATAACCGTGGTTTTGAAAAGTATGGGCAAACTATGAGCGAAGCGATGGATGGCAGCGCGTCCAGTGCGCATTATTTTACAATCGAAAAATTGGCTTTATAGAATTTCATGGCTGCAATTCTTCAACTGTGCATATAAATTCCCTAAACCAAGGGGCCCTGACCGAGAGATGAATTTGCCCATAGTTTTGATTTTAATCTGTAGTTTTGAATACGACCTAGCTGTCTATGTGTTTATATGTCTGTGAGTAATATAAGGGCACCTGAGCAGGGTGTACATGTATAAGCTTGTGGAGGGCCTGAAGGTCGAATTCATTCTGAAAGGAGTTACAGCAGTTCTCAAGGAATGCCAGAATATTATATGTTATATGTATGTTGCTTTTCCTGTTAGGTTTCGTTGCAAGTCCTCAAGGGAATATCTTGGAGTGAAGGTGTGCTTACTGAAACAATCGACACACTGAAACAACCAGACAGAAGCCCAATAACTCTGTGGACACAAATCCATTTAATAAGTAGGATTACTACTGACCGTGTTGAAAATTAGAAAATTACAGATGAGTGAAGATTTTACGAGCACGGGTTTGAAAGACGTCATCATGAGTTTACAGGAGGAATGTCAGAAACTATCAGAAGTGAAGGAAGAACCTGAGGGTGAACAGATTGAAGACTATTTTGGAAAGTGTGCAGGGGACGCAGACGATGATGGAGAAGATGGATTTGATGATGATGACCTGGATTACGAGCCAGGCAGAGAATCCCGTAGAACTACAAGGTCAGTCAGAGCAATGCCTGGAAGAAAAGGAAAGAAACAACGTCGGTCATGGAACCTGACCTACTCACACGAACAGAGGGTCCGAATGGGTTATTACGGTGCTAAATGGGGCGTTAAAGCCATGAAGAAGAGATATCCGGGGGTTAAAGACAGTACGGCTAGGGATATGTGTAACTATGTACTGGCCCTCGTTAGGGATGGGATACTAACCCTTGACCTCCCACTTGAAAAGCAGGTCATCCCGCCAAAAATGAGAAACGGCTTTCCAGTTCAGTCTGTTATACAAATTAAAGAGAGTTCGTCGTTTGAGCCGAATTCTGAACCCGGATCAAATCAGGAGCCAGCTCAGAAGGGTGGAACAGATATCACTCCACCCACTTCAAAGAATTGGCTCGCAGGAATAGGCGGGAAAAATCAGCCATTTGGTAATATGTCCATGGAAACGACCGATAAAGCTCTCCAGCCTCCATCGACGAACCATGGCGATGGCTCACCTTCTTCGACCTTGTCTTTTGAGGACAGAGTGAAGATAGGGTTCATGGCGGCATTAGAGGGATCCACTATCGCGGTGAAAAAGTGCGAGGAGTCAGATAGCAAGGTAAGAGAATGCCGCAATCTGGTCATCAGGTTAATTCAGTCCGGTAAACTTTCCCTCGATGTCCCGCTGGAGCAGCAGGAGATACCGACGGAGGACCCCGAGGAACCTGTCCCTCCTGAACCGGTCAGACGCGGTCGACCACCCAAGCATAGTTTTGGGAGATTCACTTTGCCACCAGAAGCCAAAACTTTCTTGATTAGCAGTCGAACGACCATGCAGAATAATCCGCCTCCCCTACAGCCAACACCGACTGAAAGCGAGAACCACAGCCAAAGAAACGTGCAGATGAACCCTTCTGAGGTCTCGCCCAGTCCTTGGAACGACCACGTCCAATTGCAACGGGGCAGTAAAGACATTTTTCTGGGCAGTGATTTGGCGTTTCGTCGATGGAGGAACAGACGAACCTCGCTGAAATTCCAAAGTGACGAGGCATTTGCAATGCACCTCATGGACGTACATGATGCCTTCTGTTCTGAACAATGTAGCGGCGGGGGCAGACATGAGCACCAACAAGGAACACAGGTAACTCGTCTATACCTATTAAACTAAAATTGGACTCAAGGTAAAAGTCCCGATGTCTAATTAATTTAAATTGCCCCCCCATGTATGAAGGTATAAAGAAGGGCAGGGACCACAGTGAATGCACGTTGGACTGGCATTCCTTCACGGTAGAAAAATCATAATTGCTCATAAGAAGTCAGGGGACCGCCTCAGTTTGCGTTTGAAGAGAAATTTTATGGAAGTTTTATTTAAAAGCTTAAAAAATTTGATCTTCTGAATCATTCACGGTATGTGGAGAAAACATAACCGATGATTCTGTCTTTAACCACAATATGCACTGCAAAATGTTCTCTTTCATTCGACTAATGTCTTGTCTATGTAACCCTTCAGTGATTGTAACCATTAACGAGTTAATACTGACGCCGTCTGGACTGACACATGCTGAATAACTGGAACTTTTTTTCTGAAAAGCGGCGCAAAGTTAATTTTGAGTGATTGTATTAAAACTGGGGCAAACAAGACGAACTTAAAATCGTCATCAAGCTAAGTATCCTCTTTTAAAAACCGTGTCTGTTGCAATTACTGCCAGGAATATTTTATGTTTAAAACAGGCAGTATTTGCTTGCGCTATTTTGGGGAAAGGGGACACACTGTGTATACGTCACTGGGTCGACGGCTCAAGATGGTTGACACTTGGCCTAGGCTTTAAAAGAAGACAATAAAAGTCAGTCATTGATAAAATGTACTCCAAATTGGACTGAGAAATATCTTTAAGGTGTCCGAAAAGACTCAAAGATCTTGAAAACCCTCATACTGAAATGTTTTGTTCTTCCAAAATTCTAAGCCCATCATGTCGTGTCATCAGCTGTGTAAATGCCTGCAGTTGTACTGACGTTTGGGAAATTATGGCTCCATATTGCAGAATAATTGACAATACAACATTTGTACTAACTCGATTTCAACACCATCATTTTGTGATTTGTTGTTCTGGGAATAATAAGAAAAATAAAGTAACCGCACAGGAAAGGGTTTTATTACATTTCTCCATCCTGATTTCCTTTTACTGCTATTTCTACCATAGGGTAAAAGGCTTACAGTTTCCCTGTCAGCTGCAGTGTTTTCATAACTGATAACTGGCTTGAAATTTTTGGGGTCAGTTGAAATTCTCTGTATTCCTTTGTTTTCTTACAGGTCAGTTAGAATCAGTCAGAATTCCTCTCCGGTAAGATTCCCGGCGCCCTGTGAAGATGTGCGTGAAAGATGAAGCAAGACTTGTTCGTAGTCCAAAGTCATAGACGAATGAAATGATATACAGTACATATTTTGTGTTCCTTGTAAATTTTCGAACAGAAATCTGCTGCGCGTCTCTCGATGATTGTCTGACAGCTTTCACTTTTTACACTATTTTTCGTTTCACATCCTCTATGGATAGGCCTGTGACCTCGTTAATCTTTGCACTTGCGTATCCATAATGTAAATTCAAGCAACTTTGTTAAGGCTGTTGATTCATTGTTTTGTTTGCTTTGTTTGGTTTAGGCGGAAACACTTTCGATTTAGAAATGTCATTTCGTAATTGGAAATGACACACATCCGTCTTTCAGCTCAGTTCGATGACTTGGAATTCACATTTCAGATTTTTGTCGTCTTCGCTATTGGGTCGACAATTTTACACAACCACAATGAAATTACAAATAAGAAGCAAAGTGCAGTTCAACACTTGATTAATCTTTAGTTTTACATTTTCCGTTTTGATTCTTACCACGCCCCCTACGTTTCATTCTGGCAGTCCACAAGTACTACTCTAAAACATTATTACCCGTTGTGATCAACTCGAAGTAGTGTTGATGATTTAAGAACATGTTTCTATTTCTACATGTTTCTTTTGTTTAGCTTACAAATACCTTTTCTGTTAATATGTAGAATAATCTAGAATATCAATGAAGCATGCATGTGCGTTCTGGCGTATGAGAATTTCTCTTTTCAGATATGAAGTCTGCCTATTCATAATATACCATATGGATTTCTGTCAGAAGTAAACCACCAATTAATTTGTGGGTCAGATTATTATTATTATTATTTGTGTATTATTTTTTTGGATAAAAACTGCATGCAATATATAATTTGGGCAATTTGGAGCACCTTGTGTATATGGTAGATGGACGAAATTCAATGCAATGTCAGATCCACATTTTCGACCAATAAGATGGTTCAGTTTAGATGTAAAAGCTTGCAATTACATACCATGCAATTTCACAAATTGGAAAGAAAAATCGAGTGTTTGGGTATTCAAATTTGCAAATAGGAAAAAATTGTGAGATGCAAGCAAGACAATTAAAAAAGCAGTTGTCATCGATTTATTCTCCAGAATGTGATTGTTCCTTTATTACCAATTCGAAATAAATGCCTAAGAACTGTTTCATAAGGTGTTGATATTGCTCTAATTATACTGTCCTAAATGCTAGACTCAAACGTAATTAACTGCAGAAGCTATTACAACAACATTTCAAATGTTCAACTCTGATGGAAGCGTTCTTTAGCAATAAATAAAACTCGGTGGAACTTGCAGATCATCTTGGAATTAATAAAAATATTATGCTGGATCCATCGTAGTAGCGTATGTAAGAGATCTAGATGATGAGAAATCGTGCCCAGCGGAGGGGTAAGATACTCAAAAACACGATGATTAGAGAGCTCTCATTTGCAAGAAATTATTGACTGCAATCGACTTCTGAACCTTGAATAGTTGAAGAAAAACATGAGGGAAAATATATCAGAAAAATTTGAAGTCTCCACCGGCACTATCGCAAGGGCATGCGCATTACGGAGTGCTGACGCTGAAACTTCTTGAAGACGTTCCAGAGGCAAGAACGCCACCAAAGTCTGTATCAACCCTTGAAGTGCATGTGCAGAGTATTTCCTGAGGGAGGGAGTTTTCGGCCATAACGTTCACAAAGATGAAACAGGCTACTTCGAGGTCACATGGCAGAGCTCTAAAGAAAATACCAGCAAGATGAGTGCAGAAAATGGACAAATGGACCGTATCTGTAGTGTTATCTCTTATTCTGATATTCACCATCTAATCGGCTTCAAGACTGCAACATGGGACAGCTTCGAAAGATTCCTAGCTGATACTGTTAGGAAATGCCGTGACCTGTTCTCAAGAGGTGAAGCAATATAGCTGAACGACAAAACCAGGCACCATATACACACCAAGCTGACGGAGGAAACAAACTCATTGATTTAAAGTTTCCTCTCTATTCGCTCTTTGCACGCTGCCGCCGTAAGCGTGGAGAGCTCGAACTGACAGCTTTACACAAAAACATAGCGGGTTTAGTGAACCGGGAACCAGTGAACCGGGAACCACTAAACCGGCCGTATGTACATGGTGTAATTGTGTGAAGCTGCCAGTTCGAGAATCTAAATGCTTATGGCGGCAGCCTGCGTAGACCTAATACCCACTTTTCCTGTACTGACGTGACACTGTTACTGTAGCCTATAGTCACAAGAATACTTGGACTTCCTAAATGCCAGAGATGCACGGGAAGCCTTCGAAGGGGGGGGGGACGACGGAACATGTCCCCCCATGAATTTGGTACAGGGGGACACAATGTCGATGTCCCCTCCATGTTTTAAGCAAAACAAAATACTAAAGGACTTGATGGATTGAGGATTTCCCCTTTTGAGTTTTTATTAATGGAATAAGATAATAAACACGATGTGCACAAAAAGTGTAAACTGATGTCCGCCTGCATGGAACAGGCTGATATGCGGCCTGTGTGGAGATCAGTACAGTCCAGCTATGAACTATGAGCCCTGTTTTGGCCCCTCGGAAATGCCGAGATATGGGAATATTGTGATTATACAGTCAGTGTTGATTTAGATGCGTTATCTCCCAGTATCCACTGTTAACATTTATTTCATAAGCAAGGCTATGACATATAAATGTAAATCGTTAAAAATAATTTGAAATGAAAACAAAACTGATAATATGACATTAAAACAAAATCTTGCATCGTTCTTTTATTTCCATTTATTTAAATACAGCGCAGGAATGAAAACAAAAAATCACATTCAACCAACGCCTCGTCAGGCGACCGCTAAACTGAACGACCAATTAAAACAAATAGTAAAGTGTCAAATCTGAAAACGAAAATGGACGCCTAAAATTCAAAACGGATCATGGGAACTATCAGAGGCAAATCTGCTTCAACTTGGTCACTTGAAACGAAAGGTTATATTTCAAATACATTTTACATGGTTATCATGAAATGTACATAGAAACGAATTAAATGTAATCCACAAAGTACAGGACGATGACACCGAGACATGAATTCCAAATAATTGTCATTTAAAGAGTTTTCCATTTATAGCATAATACTTCTGTCCAGAGAAAACTTTATAAAGTTTTTTATTTAGGTTTGTAAGAATACACCTTCAGTCAATGATTACGTGTTCCGATAATTTACAACAAAATATACAAATTTATATGTAAAGTGGCATACTATAGCCTTTATGGGGCCAAAACTTAAGCTTCAAAATAAGAGCGAAACTTGATAACGGAAAAGAAATTGGATTATGGTTAATAACATAAATACGTACAACCAGAACGATGTGGCTAGATTTCAGAAATAGATTTTGCTTTGTTTGTGTCACAGAAGTAGTTTGAAATAAGGAGATGAAAGGGGGAAAGCATGAAATGAATTGAAATGAATACAAGATCTACCACATTAAGTAAAAATATTTCTTGTTTCACTCGAAAAAGAATACAAATATTGAATACTCCAACATAGACCATGCAGTCCAAACAGTTCTATCTATGCTAGGTTCTATGACAAGGATTCACAGCCAGCATTGATGTTTGAAGTCAACTCCCAAATTTGGGAGTGCAGTGTACATGTGGGTAGTGATGCTTGTATTGGTTTTCTGCAAAGGATTTGCATGGGAAACTTAAGATCTCCCGGAAACTACTCAAAAAGCACCTATGCCTGATATTGTTTAGAAAACCGAAAAGGACCAGTTAGTTTGGATGTTAAACAATTAAGGTACATGTACACGGAATCAATCAGAAAATGATAAAACGTTATTCCACCACGTTATCATAAAATTATAGAATCAGTTTTTGGAATGCATCAACCATTGCTAACAGACAAGACAGCTGCAGAACAAATTCACAATAAATCTACGTTATTTGTAAGAATACCAACTGGGAATACTCAAAGTACTGAAACCTATAATACGCTGTGGAGGATTAATGCAGTACTATAAAAATGTTTTCGTTTCAAAATCTGACTAGTAATACATTTCTTTTACTTTCCATTCATAAAAGTGGGTTAGTTTGAAAATAGTCATCTCAAGAATGCTTATAAACCCTCGCATTCTTCACGTAATAGAAACTTTACAGCCCGCATTGGATTGGGTACTTCATATTGGATTATATTGCTCCAAAATATATACAAATACTACAATTAATTGGTTAATGTATAAATTTACGTCTTAATTTAAAACATTGGTTTCTATAAATATGCAAAAACAAAAGAAGGTAAAAATGATCATTTTCATTTAATGATATAATATCGGAAAACTGGTGAGTTGCTGAAGGCACCACTGTGGCAATAGGGCACATGAATCAATATAGGAATGAAAATCTAAATGTTACTGCTAATTAAAAAAAAACAGAGAAAGGATGTGATCTTGCACAAAAAACAAACCTCTCTGGGAAGAAAATTTCGAATAGCAATGCCATGGATTCATACTTAAAAGAATTCAAAAGCAATCTAACACCAAACTTTGTTACTGAAAGAAACCCATCACACTTTTAAAGCGTTCCCTGACAGGGATGGTGCTACATCATAAACTAAATTTAAGTGGAAAAACAAACAGCAAAATGGATCATATAGCACCCCTTGCACTATGACGTATTTTTATGAACACAATTAAAACTGTCATGCTTAAAACAACTTGAATAGCATTGATGTGATTCTGAACTGTCATAACCAGACAATTTCACTGACTTTGACAGAGAGCCTCTTATGATATGACTGCCATGAAATCAAGTCCCCCTCACATAATCAGAATACACATGTTCCTTTTTATTCAATGACTGATCATTTCCATTTTGGTTGTGGCTTTGATTAATCAAACAGGTGATTTATTTTGGTGCATTCTCCTTTTACCAAAATCCCCATTCGATATCAGCAAGTACATCCATGCTGCGTTATCCTACTTCCTTTTGAAACAGCTTGCTTGGAATACTTATGAAATTTGGTGTAAATAAGGCTTTGCTTTGTTTGTTTCGGTGCATGTTCTTGTGTCTTTGAAATAGAAGTCTGCATTTTTGTGAAGTATTTTTTATTATGACACAATAGTTGAATGCCTGACTGACTTGGCCTCATATTTACTGTCACATAACTGCGTTGTTCCTCTTGAAACACTGCACTTTGTCATTTACAAGGACGACTGCAGAACAAGAAATATAGAAGTACTGA